CAAATTCAATATTGCACGTGGAGGTCGATAGGACATCCTTATATGCTACGGCTTGTAAGACAGTGTTTCTTAAGCTTGTAAGGGCTTGTTTTCATCTGGTTTTGTTTTGTTTTTTCCTTTCAAGAACTTCTCGATTCAAATATTCACAAAACGGTATTTGAAACCTGTCAATATAAAAAAAAAAAAATTATTACACGCTCTTTGTAAGAAGTACTGATTCATAGATAAAATACTGGGCCTGTAGATCTAGGGCAAACAAATACAATCTCTAAAGGTGGCCTGATATTTTGACATTTTAAATTTCGTGAACAATGTAATTTATTTAATAATTTCCTATGAGTTAAAAGTTTGGGTTCAGACTCAATGATTTGAATCATATATTTCAAGATTTCATACTAAATTCTTGAGTCAAAAAGCTCTAGTGTGTATTTCACCTCGGGGAAAAATCCTACTGGAGAGTACAAAATCCGGGGGAAAAGCTTGCTATGGGGGAAATCCTACTCTACAACACCGGTTCTTATAGTGAGCAGATAGCCAACCCTCTTCATCTTGACTGCTGGTGCTAGGAGTGAAAGGAAGTCAACCCTGTTACTGTCATGGCTGTGGATAATTTGAATGAATGGGAACTCAGCTTACCATGTAGTGCGCAAGTGGATATTTTATTTAATTAATTTATATGGCGAAGTCTGAATGGGCATGGTCTAACTTGTCCTGGGTGAACATCGTACCCAGGATTCACTGTGGACAAATCTTTTCCCCATTTTTATACCCCTCCCGCTTGAAAAGTGGGAGATGTATAGTGATTGTGGGTGTCCATCCGTCAATCCGTCCGTCCGTCCGACTGTCCGTTTTTTTTCTGGGGTATCCATCTATTATCCGATCCGCAACTCCTCTTATACCACTGAATAAAATTTAACGAGACTTTCACACACCCGATCCGATACTTATTAGCTGTTACTATAACAAACTTATTAGTGTTATTTGCATGCTTATAAGACTCATAAAGTCTGACTTTTAGACCGTGCGGTCTACCACGGTATATTATTAGCTTCAACTAGCAAAGACTAACAATATGATATAAAGTATACCGCGGTCTATTATTATCTTTAAAAAGAACCTTGTAAATAGCAGCAAATCAACTCTTGAATGCCAGGGGTCATCGCTTCGAAAAAATAAAATAAAAATTATTTTATTTATCGATTTTCAAATTATTTAATTTCTTGTGATATCTAAAATGATCAATGTGAAATCGGGAAAAAAAATGAAATAAAAAAATCTCGTTACGTCACATCGCCGAGGAAAGTTCGCGGGAACATTCCACGAGATCTGACTGCCTGGAAGTATCACATGTATCCCAATGATCAGATGATCATGATTTGGTAAGTAATTAGATCTATAGCAAAATGAAGTGCAGTCGAATGAAGATGCATACATGTGCATAAATATATATATGTAGTAGGATATTTGTAGATGCACTTGTAAACAGTAAACTGTAAAGAGATCAATGATAGCATTACTCGAATTTCCTCGATCACCACAATTCGCCATTTGTGAATAACACTGTAGATGGCATCAGTGTTATGATTTAATATATGTATAAGCATAGGTTTTAATGATTTTGTCTCATTGATATAAATTTTACGATGGGTTTACAGTTTTAATCAAATTTTCAGTAAGCACCTTAAGTGAGTGAAAGGGGGGTGGGGGCATTTTTAATGAATTTACTTTATTAGTTTATACAGTGATACATAAAAGTGACTTTTGCCTTTAAAAGTAGAGCAATCTCTTGTCTCTTCTACTTCATGTCCTTAGTATGAACTTCAGTTGAAGGAAATACTTATATGATTTGTTTGTCTGTGTATGTGGGTTTATTTTATACACACAAAAATCGAACACATTTAAAATAGGCCTAGCTGTTTTTAATAATATATATCCCTATTTGAAGCTCACTTAGTCCTGTCATAAAATCTTACTTAATTAACATACAATCTTACAAATGTTAATGTTCCAAAATGGTGGAAAACAATTAAGGTAGCTCAAAATGAATCCAATCCTGAATCTGTTAATCAACTAATAAAAAACTTTGTGAAACAGTGATAATATTTTCATATTATATATTTTCTATTACTGTGGAGGTATACCAAATAAGCAACACAGTTTTATAAAAGCCACTCTGCTCATGATATATTATAGTATCATTATATGGCCATATCCTGGTGTTGCCCGTTATACTTAGGAATATAATCATTAAATCTACACTACCTGAGGATGATTCCATATCAGTATGACTAATTGTGGCTTTGTTGTTCTTGAGAAGATTTTTAAAGAATTTTCATATATTTTCTTATGTAAAAACTTTGATCCCCCATTGTGGCCCCTGATAATAGACCCAGTTAATTGCTTAAATATTATATTGAGAATTGCCAGCTATTGATTTTGGTTTAAACCATGTGATGAAAGAATGGGGTGTATATCTTCCGGAATTTCTGGTCAGAAATTAAAGTAATCGGTCAATATTTCTATTTTATGGACTTTTCAATTACCTAAATATTATTCGAATAATTCTAAATAACTATGGTATATATATTGTAAAATTATATTTTTAGGTTACCTCAACTGAAAGCTCAAAATGAGCTTATTCTGATCACAATTTTTGTATGGAATCCATCTGTCTGCAGTCATCCAACCTATGTATGAAAACTTTGAACATTTTTAGCCCACCTAAGCTGAAAGCTCAAGTGAGCTTTTCTGATCACCTGTTGTCCCTCGTCCGTCTGTCTAGCAGTCTAGCTGTCCATCCATCTGTAAACTTTTCATATTTTAAACTTCTTTTCAAGAACCACTGAGCCAATTTTAACCAAAATTGGTACAGAACATCCTTGGGTGAAGGAGAGTTTAAATTGTGAAAATGAAGGGCCAACCCCCTTACAAGGGGAGATAATCAAGAAAAGACAAAAATAGGGTGGGGTCATTAAAAAATCTTCTCAAGAATCACGGGGCCAGAAAAGCTGAAACTTATGTGGAAGCATCCTAGGGTAGTGTAGATTTTAAATTGTTCAAATCATGGCCCCCGGGGGTAGGGCGGTTCCACAGTAGGGAATCAAAGTTTTACATTGAAATATATAGGCAAAATCTTTGAACATCTTCTTCTCAAGAACCACTGGACCAGTTAAGCTGAAACTTACGTCGAGACATCCTGGGGTAGTTTAGATTCTAAGTTGTTCAAATCATGGCCCCCGCCCCCGGGGTTAGGGTGGGGCCACAATAGCTAGGGTATCAAAATTTTACATTGAAATATATAGGCAAACTCTTCTTCAAGAACCACTGGGTAAGGGCGAAACGATTACAGGGTTGTGGATAACCACTCGCCCACTCGCAAATGCGAGTAAAATTTGCTGTGGGCGATAAGATATTAAAAATCTGGTCGCCCACATGGCGAACAATTTTTTTCCCAGAACATAATCACATTTCAGTTTTTGTATTGTACTTTCAGTTTTTGAACAAATGCTCTGCTAACCTAGATTATTTGTATTGTGTGCAAGCATATTAGTCAAACATGTACCTGATTTAGATCAAACGTGGCGATTTATCGAAGTGGTTAATTTGCAATCTTGATGATAGGAGAGCAAACATTTGAGATTGTTCTTAAAGAAATATTGTAACAATCGGCTGTGAGGCACTCCATCAGGACTACTTATTCAGAGATAGAATTTGAATTATCGTGTCAAATACACAAAGATTAGAACCAAACTGTATTACAGGTTGTATGTAATTTAATATGTTCCCCCGTTAAACAATAGATGTGTCAGTTGTAGGATTACCGGTAAATGCTACAAAATGAAATGAACATATTATTGTATCAAACTTTTTTTTAAAAAAGGGAAAACCTGACAAAATTTCAAATACTGCCAGGGGCTGACAAATAGGTTTTTTAGGCACTTGTCCATGGGCAAGTGCATGGTCAAAATTCACTTGCCCTACCTGAATATTTGCTTGTCCCACCATGAACTATTATCATATTTTAAAATAATTATATCTAAAACAAAATGGAAGACAAATACTGAGTAGAAATGCAAACCCCTGTACAAAGCTTTAGATCTATGACTTACATATGGATTTTATTTTTTTCAAGTCACTTGCTCATGGGCAAGTGGTTGATAAAATTTCACTTGCCCACCCATAAAATTCACTAGCCCTGGGCATCGGCAATGGGATTTGTCAGCCTCTGACTGCGAACATATTGACACTAGGAATTTTAATAAAAAAATCAGTAAAAAAAATTTAAGAATTTTAATTTTAATTAACATATAATGTGGGCCCCTGGGTCAATTGTGGGCCTGTAAAATTTGAAAAGTTAGGAGCCCACATGGCCCCTAAGTTTTCAAAAGTTAACCACAACCCTGGATTACACATGTAAACGGCGACCTTTCGATTAAATGGTCTAAACGTTTACAAATTGAGTAAACGTTTACAGGAAGGTCATTATCAATGTCTATCAGAAATAAAGTTTAATACAAACAAGTTGTTTTATTTCATATTTACCTAAGAAAGCAGTCTTTTACAAACTGTTAACAATATTGTTTTCTCTTTTAATCTAACTGGAAACATGATATTAAACAAAACTATCTAAAATCCAAGAGGTCTAACATACTTAATTCCAATTTCCGAGGAGTGAATAGTGATGTATTATGATTTTAATTTATTTTTCCAAGTATATGTTCTAAAATAAATAACTTTTGCTGTTGCTTTTTATTGCTAAGAAAGTACAAATTATCATGCTTATAAGTTATAACAGTACGATGCTTTTTCTACGTCCCGTATGTAGCCAAACAAACCATTAGGCCTAAAAAAAATTATGTTTGTTTCCTGCAACATTCCCAAAAAATCAAGGGTCGGTAGGTCAGGAATTTTTTTTTTTTTTTTGCTTATGAATAAAGGGGTCAAACATCCCTGGACTGAATTATCCAGGTGTTATATTTACAGTGGACACCCAACATGGCTGCCTAGTGGTAGAAAACACACTTCAAAAAGTTATGGGGGAATTGATTACTCTTTATATTTAAGGTAAATGTTGACTAAGTTGCATATTTTATATCTCAAATAAAAGATACAATTAATATTTTTTGAATTAAAAGAATCAGCTGATTGATCAAACCAAAGAGCAAACACAGAATTGGCAGGGAAAAAAATCCACCCGTGGGTAAATTGAATGGGTCGGTCGGGATACAGGAAACAAACATAATTTTTTTTTAGGCCTTAATGCAATATTGGTTGACGGTGTAGAAAGTGAATGAGTTTAATGCGCTTCATGTTCTTTAGTCATAAAAACCAACAAATAAATAGCAATAACAACTCATAGTCTCATACTTACATTATAGTGAAAGAATGGTTAATTAAATTAGTGTTTCATGAGTAAGTAGCCAAAAAAATTCAACATAAAATATTCTCCCGTTTAAACGGTACTGTTTCATTTTACTGCTGTTCGTTTAAACATATTCAGTAAACGTTTCACCCTTACCACTGGGCCAGAAAAGCTGAAACTGATGTCGAGACATCCTGGGGTAGTGTAAATTTTAAATTGTTGAAATCATGGCCCCCAGGGGTAGGGTGGGGCCGCAATAGGGAATCAAAAGTTTTTACATTGATATATCTATCTATATATATACCTGGTATATATAAATCTTCTTCTCAAGAACCACTGGGCCAGAAAAGCTGAAACTTATGTGGAAGCAGTGTAGATTGTTGAAATCATGGCCCCTGGGGTTAGGGTGGGGCCACAATAAGTATTACAAAGGGGGGGATCTGTTGAAGAACAAAGTAATTCAGGTGAGTGTTTTGGTCCATGGGCCTTGTTTACTTTTTTAGCTCACCTAAGCTTAAAGCTCAAGTAAAATTTTCTGATCACTCTTTATCCAGCATCCATCTGTCTGTCTGTCTGTCTGTCTAGCTGTTCGTCCGTCTGTAAACTTTTCATATTTTCGACTTCTCAAATTTATATAGGGAAAAAATCTTCTGGTAGTGTTATTGGGGCCCCCTGTATTGGGTGGGGCCACAAAAGGTGATCAAAGTTTTACATAGGTCTGTAATATATATTAGGAAATGTCCAGCATGGTTATGATGACTAAGAATACTTTTTCCAAAATTAGTCATTACCCTTTGATCAGGGGTTCCAGGTTTAGTACGGGGCTTTTTTCATCACATATTGAAAATGCATTAAATTCTTTGAAAGTCTTCCTCTATGGTTGTTCTTGAGTATTTAGCAGAGAAACTTGGTGCATGTTTATGATGAGAAAGTATGCTTCTTCCGAGTGTTGAAATTCATTATCCCTGGATCAGGGGTTCTGGATTTAGGGTAGTGCTATATTTCAATCATTTTAAATATTGGAATATTTACTCTGCTTTAAGAAAAGTTATTCACTTATGATAATTGATCAATGTAAATATCGTAATTGATAGGTAAATTGAGCATACAAAAATATTAAATATTTATAATATGAAAAGAACTTTCAAAGGAACTTATTTGACAGCTGGTAGACTTATAAATAATACTGTAGATTCCTTATTTTACGCGAGTACTTATTATCGCGAAATGACCCAAGGACGTCAAATCGTGAGAAAAATAATTCGCGAATGGTTGATTTATCTAGAGATTTTACATACATTAAAGCACCATAAAAATAAAAGCGAGTAATTTTATTTCGCGAGCGGTGCTTCTCGCGTAATTACGCGATAATTTATTCCTCACGTATATTTAGGAATCTACAGTAGATGCATAAATAAAAATGAAACAAAAATACTTTCATATACATGTATTTAAAGACAAAGAGAGGCAAATATGGTGTGGGTATGGTGCTGGGTGTTACTCTGTGGATATTGTGTTTTATGCTAAAGCACTACTGTTGTGTTATGTTTGGTGATAGTAATGAAGTGTACTGGTAGATAGCACTGGTATATATAGATACAGACATGTTTCTGAATTGTTGCTGATTACCAGACTAACTATTTTGTTGAGCTCTGGTATTAGGGTGGGGCACTATTTATTTAGTGAAAATGAATCAATGATTGGAAAATCTTTTTCTCTACTCCTTGGTATTAAAGAAACAAACTAAATGCATAGTTATAATGAACAAGGGTGCTCTTCCAAAATTCTGAATTTCAGGGCCCCTTGGTAAGAGGTTTTGATGTTAGGACTGGGGTCTATTGATTATATAGTGAAGATACATTAATTCTCTGAAAATCTGCTGCTCCTTGGTATTAAGCCAATGAACTAATGCATGGGTATGATGAGCAAGGGTGCCTTTTCCAAAATATGTGAAATGTGTGGCCTCAAGGTCAGGGGTTTGGGGCTCTACTGATTATACACAATGCATTATTTATTTGATAATCCTCTGCTCTGCTCCTGGGTGTTAAGTAAACAAACTAAGTGTGTAGTTATGATGAGCAAGGGCACTTCTTTCAAAATTATGAATTTCATGGCCTCTGGTTTAAAACATGAACCTAATTCAGTTGTGGGAAAGTTGTTACATGATATTCAGGTGACCTATAAGACCTATGGGCCTTGTCTTTTACCTTTACCTTCCCAGTGACCTTTGACTTTATTTTTTTTATTGTGTATAAATCTCAGTTATAAAAAAAAAACTAATGATTCAGAAGATATTTTCGTCAAACATCACACACTTATACAAACTTTCATGTTGCATTATAAAAATACCCTGGGTGGGGCATTCATGTCTTTTTGACATATTTTTCTAGTTTGAATTTAATTTTATTTATTTATTAGTGGTTTTCCAATCATCAATTATAATCGAAAATCAGTTGATTGCTGACATAATCCAAGCACTTGATTACAAAATTCTTATTCTGATTAACCGGTTTATTTTTTTTTACAAGCGTAATAGTTTTAAAGCTAAATATTCCAGCCCTGACTTATCTGTTACTTTATTTGTGTATCGTAATGGTGCAGAATTGTATCCATACCCTGGTAACAAAGCATGTTCCCGGGTATGGACGTACTTTGGGTTCTACAAAATGAATGAAGGACCTGCTGGACCACCACAGAAAGTAGTCATCTACTCATTCTTACATTTAATCAAATAAATTAAAAGAAATTAGAAATGTCCGATTATAATTGATAATTAATTAGTTACAGTAACCCGATCATCGATTATGAAATTCTTACCGATCCCATCAGTATTATTTATTATATTAATTATTTACCATTCCATGGATCTTTCACAGTTTTTTTTTTTAGCTCACCTGGGCTGAAGGCTCAAGTGAGCTTTTCTGATCACATTTTGTCTGTTGTCCGTCTGTCCGTCCGTCTGTCTGTCTGTAAACTTTTCACATTTTCGACTTCTTCTCCAGAACCACTGGGCCAATTTCAACCAAACTTGCCATAAAGTATCCATGGGTAAAGGGGATTCAAGTTTGTTCAAATGAAGGGCCACGCCTTCTTCCAAGGGGAGATAATTATGAATTCTTGAAAAATTAATGGCATCATTAAAAAATCTTCTTCTCAAGAACCAATGTGCTTGAAAATATGAAACTTATGTGGAAGCATCCTCAGGTAGTGTAGATTCAAGATTGTTCAAATCATGACCCCCGGGGTCGGGTGGGGCCACAATGGGCGATCAAAGTTTTATATAGGAAAAATGTTTAAAAATCTTCTACTCAAGAACAGCAAAGCCATGATTGGTCATATTTACATGGAAGCATCCTCAGGTAGTGTAGATTCAAATTTGTTCAAATCATGACCCCCGGGGGTCGGTCGGGGCCACAATGGGCAATCAAAGTTTTACATAGGAATATATAGGAAAAATGTTTAAAAATCTTCTTCTCAAGAACAGCAAACCCATGATTGGTCATATTTAAATGGAAGCATCCTCAGGTAATGTAGATTCAAATTTGTTCAATTCATGCCCCCTTCCCCCCCAACCACTTTTATATTTAAACTTTTCAACCTTTCAAGACTGAACTGATTTCTGCTTTTTCCTAGCCATGTTGCCCAGGAGCAATGTGGCCCCTGGGCCTCTTGTTTTTTTAAACTCCGGTGACCTTAAAGGCCCTTGAGCCTCTTGTCTTATTACAAAATGAACTGGACATAGACAATCAGAAAAATGTTAATGTTCAGCCCAGTATTGTACCAGATAGGGTAAACTTGTATGAAAGTTTTGATTCCTGACATGGTGTAGATTCAAGTTTGTCTAAATCACTGCCCTTGAGGATGGGGTGGGGGCCACAATAGAGGGTCAATTTTTTCATCAGAATATATGTAGGGAAAATGTTTTAAAATCTTTTCAAGAACAGCACAGCCATGATTATCGATATTGAGGTGCAAGTATCCTCAAGTAATGTATATATAAATTTGTGAAAAGCCTAGCCCCCAGGCGTAGGTTGGTCCCACAATTGGGTATCAAAGTCTTACATGGGAATATATATAGAAAAAAAAAGTTTGAAAATCTTTTCTTCAAGAGCAACAGGACCATGATTTGTCATACTAATATGCAAACATCACTGCTTGCGTATTGCTGATTCAAGTTTGTTAAAATCATAGCCTCCAGGAATGGATAGGGGCCATAATATGGGATAAAAGTTTTACTTTGGAGTATAAGAAGAAAAAAAATCATTTTCTCAAAAACAACAGGGTCATGATTAGTCCAATTAATCCAATTGATATATGTGAGTATCCTAAGGAAGTGCATCTAGATTAAAGTTTGTTCAATTCATAACCCTCATTTGTAGTCATAAGGCCACAAAATCATAAGGATATTGTAACATCTGCAACCCCTTGGAGCTAGGCTAGGGCAATGGTATGGATAATGAATTTTTCATGTGAATAAAGTGAGATTTTATTTAAAATCTGCTGATGAATAACAGCACTACCAAGGTGACTCAGGTGAGCATCATGGCCCATGGATCTCTTGTGTTTTCCACAAATTTAGTCATACTTACTACAGTGACAAATGTTTTCAAGAAAATACCTAACTTGATCAAATATCCAAGCTCAAGAATGTCAATTTGGCCATTGTGATGCAATTAAGTACATACGCAACGTACCTTACCTACTGATAATTTTTCAAGATATTCTTAATTTAAGATTAAAATGCCATCAGATGTTCATAAACAAAAAAGCAGCTTGCATTACCAGGGGTTTTGAAAAGATATCAGCTGATGAAAATTCTTGTAAAATTCAAAGAAAAAGATACAAAAATTACTACTACATATATTCTAATTGTTTTGTTTTTCCAAATTTGTTTTAAAAGAAGTGTACAACAGCATATATAGACATTAAAATGAAGCACACAGTTCCTTTAAGTATTGGAACTCTTCAACTCCAGGGAAAAAGACAATAAAGTTCAAACTATGTTGCGTATGTCCTTAATTGGACATTTTATTACCAACACTGAGAATGCCTGAAGGAAGTTATTGAGCGGTAGATTTTTGGTCACTTGCTCAAAGGTCAGATTCAGACATTTGACAGTGTGATGCAATTTCTTGTTGTATATATAAGAGAAGCTATTTGGGCTGTGAACATCATCCTGGGTAGCTCAGTAGGGATGGGTATTACCCCATATATGTATCACGGTCCGATTTTGTCAATGACTTGTTTATCATTATGTGTATCACTTAATTCTATCTATAAAAAGCTTTTTTAAAAAATACTTAAAAATTATCACAGTGATCACAGTGACTGCAAAATATTGTTAGGAATATAATTTTGTCATACATGTACATGGGGGGGGGGGGGGGGGGGAGGGGCGGCAATTATTTTGCCGATATACAGATTGCTATTGAAAAAATAGATACTATATGCTTGTGCCCCCTCAATAAAAATGTCTAATGACCTTTTTTTTTTTCTTTTTTTTTTGCTTGTCAAGGAATATTTGGTAGTTGATAGTGCCCCCTCAACTGAAAATATATGCATGGCTGTGCCCCCTCAAACTGAAATTGCTTCCTACGGGCCTGGACCATATAAAAAAGTAGAGTGTTTCAATATGTGACATGCTTTAGCGCATCATTTGAATAAATCTAGAAGTGGTCAGCTTTTTATGTTACTAACATTTAAATTGGTTCATGCATTTACCTGCAAAGAAAAACATCCACAGATAGAGAGACTTTGTTAGAATGGCAATTACCATATAAATAATAAAAATATGATTCCCCAATCTTTTATGCATAAAATAATAAGGAAACTGATATAATTAGAAATGATTATTATTGTACAATCTCCCAGATTCATCAATATAGAGAGAGATTTCAGATTCTCTTTCCTGAAATTGTAAGCATTGCAGCATTCATCTTTATTTGAAGTGTAATATATTTTGCTATACCCATCCCGATGTATTTTGTTAGTACTTAGATTTCAGTTTATGTAATAACATACTGTATATTATACCGTTTAAAAGTACATGAGCTCATAAACAAGTGATGTATATGCTAGTTATTGAAACTCTGTATCTCAAATTTTTCAAAGTATTTTTCCAAAGGAGATCAAAGGTCAAGGGTCAAGTGGACTGTCTAGCTTTAATGTCTTATGACAATAGGTCAAAAATAAGCTTAGTTAGCTAAATATATTTACTCTATGAACGATTTTAAAAAGTAGGTCAAAAGTCAAATTGAAAGGTCACTAGATGGGTAAACCCTTGTATTTTATGAAAGCCGTAGTGCCCAGGTTTATATATTCAAAAAATTAAGTCCAATCATTTTACATTTCTCATGATATATATGTAAGGTGTGACTGATGGTGAGATTAATGGATGGACAGACAGACAAACAGACCCTGGGTAAAAGTGATCAATCCCCAAGTGTCACTTTGCTCTGCAGGTGACACAAAAACTGTATTCTGGATTGCTCTATTGCTTTGTAACTGACTGGGGGCAAAACAATTATTCTGATATACAGTAACTGGTAACTCAGGGTTGTTCCTAACAATCGAAATAGCAGGGGGCATTAAAAAAGTAGAAGGGGGTTTGGGGTTCCTCCCCTAACAGGGACTTGAGGGGGGATACCAGAATTACTGGGGCTTTATGTCATTATAGGCAGGGACAACTCTTTAACTGGTAGATAGTTACACTCCTATAGCTCAGTGGGAACTCTACTAGGATCTTGTCTGATTCTTCATTCAGCTATAACTTTTCTTCCTAAGTATTGTTATAATTTCATTTGTAACAGGAAAGGAGAAAATGTACATTCCTCCCTCCTTAAATTGTTTTCACCCTCAGAGATGCAACCCACCCAAGTTCTTAATTGCCCCTGGCAGGAATTTTACCTGCAAGTCCAGGGGTGGTCAACGGAATCAAATCAGATACCATTACACAATTAATTAGGGTATTTATTCAGTACCAATAGACTTTTGAAGCCTTTGCAAAGCTTAGACAATAAAGTGACCATGGTGCCTGCAAGATTCACTTACTCCAAGCTCCCAACCAAGATTTTACAGACACTACCGCAATTTCAAAATCATAACAGACATAAAATCTAAAACGTCTTGAAAACTTGAAAAAATTTATTCCAGAATATAAACATTGCCTTTTTTTCACCTAAAATTGTATCTTATATGTAAACTGTCTTGAGTTTGTCAGGTTTTACTTATGATGCTTATTATAATGCTGCATTTTAGTTGAGTCATCCTTACTAAATTTGATCGATAATATTTGTTAGCTCATGCCCAGTATAGATGAAGAAAAGTTTAGAGGTTATTTATAGATTTAGGGTGCAACTTGTCCAAAGGTCAAGGTCAATGATTTTACAGGACAGAAAAAAACCCTATACTGTATTTCTATATATCTAGGCTTATGTTACAAAATAATAACGTGTTCTAAAATATCATGACCTTTGATTTTTTGTTCTCATTGGAGTACATTTTTGTGTTTTAGAAACATTGAAACATTTCTAATTTATTTATTATACTATGTTTTTCCCCCTAGAGGATGAGATGACAATTCCAATTATCCATAACTAAAGCCCCTGCATTAGAAAAAAAGATCAACACTCCTTTGTGATGCTTGCAAATGCAATGTATTGTAAGTATTAAAAGTGTTTACTTCTTGAATATTAAAAAAGGTATTTTGTATAAATAGAGCATAACCTTAATATTCCAATTGGATATCCAGTTTGAAACTTTAATCACTAGTAAATGACTTTAAAGTGGATACATACAAGCATGTCATTTGAAAGTCTTGCCAAATGTTTATGATTTACATCTTGATTGCACAGTTGTATATTACTCCCAATTCAGTAATTCAGGGTAAGATAATCAGTACTTGCTGAAAAAAAATTTCCTGTGAAACCTAGCTGTCTGATTTGACATTCACTGCTGAACAAATTTTGTGTCAGAATAGACAGGGTGTCAGGATGTCAGATTGCACAGTGCAAAACACATAGAAAAGAGTAAAGTTCAAATTAAAATAAAGGTCTGAATTCACAGTGAAACAGACTGCACAGGTTTCTGAATAGACAGTTTTTACTGTAAGTACATATAAGTACCTGAATTGTATGCCCACTGAATTTGAATTTTTTAGGTTTACTAACTCACTCTGCTTTATGACAGCCAGGAGTAACAAAGATTATAGAGATGCGCGATTTTATTGGTGTATCGGTATATCACAATTTTTTTTTTGCATGATACATATCGTGATACAGAGACTAAAATACCGGTATTTGGTACATAACTATAAATTCCAGAAATTATTCATTTATTTGTTCAAACTATTGAAAGACAATTACAGGAAGTGTAAAAAATGTTAAAAATAGTTAAACAAAGGCATCCAAAATGCTTTATATTAAATGAATAAAAAAGTAAAGTTAGGTTATTATAGCATACTTTTAAGAAATATTATGAAAATTCATTTGAAATTGTAGTAAAAATTGTGTGTAAAAATATCACGATTTATCCTGATATTTTTTGGGGAAAATCGTGATATATCACGTTACAAATTTTTTGCTGATTATACCCATCCCTAAACAAAGAATCTATCTCCTTCACCAAACTTAGTCTTTCATTTTATAATTAGGACAAATTTAATGTGAACTGGCAAGATATTTTACCACAGTTGCCCTGATAATTTGGTTCTTTTTACATGTATTAAAATAAAAAATTTAATCATAATATTACTTGTTTCATTACAGGGTATTTACAATTCAACATGTATGCTAGCCTAAAGGAAAGTTATTGAATGACCATGATGACTAATCATCTGAAGAAAATGACTGGCATGGAAAAGACTGTGGCAACCTTTATGTTGTTCTTCTGTGTTTTCATGTTTTTGATTGCTCAATTAAGCAAACTGACTGAGATGTTTGAAAGTGAGAGCTAGTACCTACATTTAAGTGTTTAAATTACAAAGAATGTTCTCTGACAAACTGGAAAATTGATCATGGAAGTCAGCTGCAAAAAAGTCTTGAAAACCATAACAAGCATGACATTGTGCATATATTTCTAGCTTTATGAAGGACCAGAACAATGAATTGACATGGGTTTATTCTACAGTACATGTATATGGATTTTTAAATTTTATTTTTTTTTTTAGCCAGCAAACCTTTGCTTTTTTCTTAATGATAGTAAGTCTTATCAAATTTGTGAGTTTGTGTGTCAGACTTATTGGTTGGACTTTTTCTTAATGATAATAAGTCTTATCAAATTTGTGAGTTTGTGTGTCAGACTTATTGGTTGGACTTTTTACTCATTATCTTTTATAAACAAGATTCTTGATAATGAAAGTGAGCACATAGATCTTCAGTTGTAAATTCATGTCACACGAATCTGTATAGAGTTCCATTTCTGGGGGAAACTTAAGTTTGTCATACGAGGAGGAACTATGATACTCAGGTGAGCATTAATGCTCACTGCCTTTTAAATCAAATGAAAATTAGTTTTTATGCAATTAACCATCTGAATTATAAATTGTATGTTAGGTAATTTTGTGAAATATTTAACTGTCGAATAAAAAAAGAAAAATGTATTTAATAGCATTCCATGTTTGATTTAAACCTGTATAAGAATTTTATTTACTGAAGAATCATCATTGTATATGGGGGTCAATTTTTGTGGGTAACCAGAATTTGACTTGTTTGTGGGGACTTAATTCATGGGTAAGAGCTACCCACAAAATCCACAGATTGATCCCCGATGAACAGTGATGATTCCACATGTAAAGAGAAATAAGTTGATTACAATTACAGTAAAACATGCTTATAACGAAGTGCCAGGGACTGGCAATTTTGCTTCTTTGTCAGTGTAACTCATTATATCCATTAAGTGTTAAATATATTTTTAAGTCATGGGGAATGGAAATCACTTTGCTGTAAACGCCAATTCATTAAAAGCATGTTCGCTTTAAGTTTGCTTTACTGTACTTGATTGATACTATTCATTGAAGTTAAAGTGACATACATATATCCCGACCCTCTTTTAAAATGCACTTGTGAAATGAATAATCCATGATTTGCATTTTTTAACATCAATATATATTTCAATTATGGTTGTACTAAAGGACCTCAAAAAATGTATTATATCACTGAAATATTGTAAATGGAATGTCTGCTTGTGATTAATATTCCATTTTATTTAGATAAAAGTCTGAACTAATTTAATTCAGCGCTGCATTTTTTGAAAATTAGAATGAATAATTTTACTTTCTCAAACTTCTTTCTAAACTTAAAAATTTTAAAGTAAAAAAAAAATTTTCATTGTCTTAAAGGACAAGATTGCTAAGACCCCTTTCTGGCCCTTGGTTTGAGATGCATCTTAGAACGGTACAGTAAAGCCTTGTTATAAAACGAGTTTAGATTCTAAATGATGGGGTATATAGAGGTAATAGGAAGGTCACAAAATTGATCATTTTCCGAATTTTTTTCATTTTTATTCGAATTTTCATCAATTTTAAAGCACATTTTGTTTCAGAAAATGGTTGCCTATCTACGAAATTTATATATTTCATGCACCAGTTTAAGATACATCTTGTGAATGAAAATTTCAGATAGGTAAGCTTGTGCTCTGATTTCAGAGGTAATAAGTATCGCAGTTTAGGGGAAATTCCATCAGAATAATAGTTGAAATTTGGTTGAATGTTCCACTTTCTCTGCCTCTTGTGGCATCCATGTACGCTTTAAAAATCAATTATACTGGTTATAAAACAAGCATCATTTTAAGTTTTTACTTGCCAACCATTAAAATTCAAACTTCTTTTTCTTTATCAAATTAGGGGCCTAATTAGGCTCTTGCCATACATTGTTCTTTAGGAAAGCTACATGTATAATACATACTCATCCAATGGTTTGAGTGGGATAGTCTCTTATCAAACCCGCAACAGGAACTATTCTCCCGATAACTTACCCGAGGGGCAGGTGTGTGATTCCTATCGACGGTTTTATGAAAGACTGTTTACAACAGTAGGAGGCCGGTCCTTCGGACGAGACCGTATAAACCGAGGTCCCGTGTCGCAGTAGGTGCTGGCACGAAAAGATCCCTCACTGCTCAATGGCCCTAAGTGCCGAGTATAGGTCAAAATTTGCAGCCCTCCACCGCGGCAAGTGGTGGCGTCTCCATATGAGTGAAAAATTCTCGAGAGGGACGTTAAACAAGAAACAAACAATCAACAGTTGGATAAGTGTTTTATACAGGTGCGTGTATTTTTACTTAAGGTATACAATCTGATACTGATGAATACTGTTATACAATATAGCAGCATTCTGGATTGTTCAAATCAGAGCCCTTCGGGTAGAGTTAGACCAGAGTTTTACAAGGGAGTTAGGGACTGTAAGAACTAACATTTTCATGAGTATCGGGGCCAGATTAAATCTTTCTAAGTTGCGTGGATTCAGTTTTCCTTTCCATATTATGATTTTCATGCAGAGGAGGGAGGGTGTGTTTGGAACACCCCCGGGATTTTCAGAGTAATTAAATTCCTATGTAAAGTAAAAAATTATTACCTTGGAACCCCCCCCCCCCCCTTATGGAACAGAGCCCTCGAAAAATGATAAGAAGAAAAATGAATTCAGAAAATGACTTGCCATTGACTTACCCGACAATTCTTTGAGTTAATGTGGACTACCTGCCCCTCCCCCTTTTCAAAAGAATCCCTGGATCTGCGCATGGTTTATGTGATTATCAGAGATTAATACATGCGTACACGGGAAAAGCAAAGTTTTCAAAAATTTAGCCATAATAAAATATTAGTCATATTGAAGCATCCCATGTTGTGTTGATTCAAGTTTAGTTAAATCATTACATCTTGAAGGGTCACAGTATCTGTAAAAAATGTTGATGGTCTTAAAGTCGGGGGGGGGGGGGGTTAAAAATCTCATGAAGAATAAGAGCAGGGTCTCTTAAACTGTTTAAATATGAAATGCTTCTGAATTTAGATAAAATGAACGTGTCAAATGATAAGTTAACCATTTTTAAACATTTTGGTCAAGTGAGTTGTTGTAAATTGTATAACATATGAGAGTTGTTGTAAATTGTATAACATGTGGGAACGGAGAAAGGACTGAAGTAGGAATCATCCAAATATCTTTTCATGCATTGCATCCTATTAGATAAAACCTTATAATTGATGCAAGTGATTTCCAAAATTTGAAATTCTGATTTTCAAACCTTGTCGATTGCAAACCTTATCTCCATCATGCAAAAATATTGAAATTCAAACATCGTGTCCCTTTCTGGGGATAAAAATTTGAATAGGTTGGAATCTTTCTACGAGAATGAGAATGCATGTTTAATTGATTTTAGCTTTTTACGGATGTGATACAAATGCATGCTCTGATACACTGTAGACCTTGATAATTATAAATACATGTATATAGACAAATAAAATACATTTATTGAATTTCATTATGGTTTTATCAACTTTGAAACAAAAGTTTTAGTCTTAAGAAATGTGGAGATTAAATGATCAAATAAATTATACAATACAACATGTTGATGAATTCAATCCATTAGTTTTAATTATAGCACCAATGAAGATTAAAATTTTAAGCGAGGAAGAATTCCCAAGTCATCTTGATGGGTTGACCGATATCAACTTCCTGATAACTATTTGTCTTGTAAAACAATAAAAACCTACATGTACTTTACGTCACTTTTCATTTATGCCGTATTGAAAGTTCATGTTGTTAGATTGCATGTAAATTTTCCCCATGATTGACGACACCTATACACCTAAACTATCATTTTGATTTGACTGAAACATTTTTTTCTCGCATGATACAGGTGTATGGCAAGGGCGTTCATTAAGTCCTTGGTTTTTCTCTATGTTTATCATTGAACTCAAAACTGTCTACAGTGATACGAAAGTGTGCAATATGTATGTATCTCTTGAAAGCAAAATTATATCCTTATTGTGCTCCGATGATTTTGCTTTAAACAGTTTAAGATCGTGGCTTGCATTAAAAACTGTATGCATTCCAGGAGCACTAAATAAGACCTACCAGGTATAGTTGTTAATGTGGAGAAATCTACAGTTTTTTCAGTAAGATATAATTGGCTTCAATCGAGAGACGGATGCTATGCAGAAAAAAGTCTTCCTATTCATATGTTGCAATCCAATGCCTTCCTAGATGGCTCAAGTTCTGCTTATGCGAGTTAAGATTTTTTTCTGAAATAGCTAAAAAATTAATTTCTGCATTGACAAACAAAGGAACATTTTACCCTGCCCCTTTTCAGTATTTATATTAAATATTTGAATGACTTAAAATTGAGTTGTTTTCGCTTAAATTGAAATGAGTCTTTTCTGAGGGTCCAAAAGACGCAAGACAAGTCTAATATTTAAACCTGAAGTACTGTAAGCACAGCTCACAAAATGACACCTCCTCTCTCATATGGCAAAGTGCGTCGCTTGCTAGTATGTAAATGAGATTCTGTGAAATTGTCCTTAAATTTTATTCGGGGGGTTTAGAAGGAGTTGCGTTAACTGTTCTACAGCCACGGCTAAATGTGAGGTATTTTAATGAAAAAATAACGCGAGTGAATTAGATTAGGAAATGTCTACTATCTCAAGTGTTTGTTTGTGAACTTAGTATTTAGAGCAAAGTTCTTATTGTTGAAAGGTATGAAATTTTGGCAAGCAAAATTTTTGTGCGAAAAATTCTCTTTGCAAAAATATTGAAAAAAATTGCAGTTTTCTTGAGGTTTGAACCCAAACAATAAAAAATTCCGAATAACAGCTTCTTCTCAGTGACTGGACACGTTAGCCACTAGACCATACAACTC